CCGTCCAATTTCTGTATTGAGTAATTTTTCTAAAATATTTGAGAAGGTCATAAATTTGAGATTGGTTAGTTATTTTGAAAGCAATCATCTATTTTATAACAAACAATTTGGATTCAGGAAAAATTTAAGCACAGGTTCTGCACTAACACAGTTTATAAATGAGGTTACCCAGGCTTTGGACGGGTCTCAGGCTACAGCTGGTGTTTTCTGTGACCTGTCCAAAGCTTTTGACTGTGTTGATCACTCAGTCCTTCAGCTCAAGCTGAGTGATTATGGTATTAGGGGAAGTTGTCACTCTCTATTGAGTTCTTACCTTTCTAATAGAAAACAAAGAACTGTAATAACACTGGATAAGATCAAGTACTATTCGCCATGGGAAAACCTATCGGCAGGTGTGCCCCAAGGTTCAATCTTAGGTCCTCTATTCTTTCTAATTTACATTAATGACCTCCCTAAAGCTATTGATCAGGAACTAATTCTTTTTGCAGATGATACAACAGCCTTGATAAAAAATAATAGTACTTCTGAAATGCTATCTTCTCTTGAAAATGTGGTTCATGACATGGAAGGTTGGTTCTTGAACAATGGATTAAAACTTAATCTTGAAAAAACGCAAACAATAAAATTTTCTGTCAGAAACAATGGTAATAAAATTGAATCCCTTAAATTGGCAACGTCTCATAAATTTCTAGGTGTTTACATAGACGAATCACTTAAATGGGATGTACATCTGAATCAATTAAAAAGTAAACTTAGATCCATGTCAATTGTATTTCTGCACTTAAGGGACTGTGTTCCTAAAGAAACTCTGAAAATGGTTTATCATGCTTATGTAGAATCAGTATTGAGGTATGGTATAATCTTATGGGGTCAGGCTACCGGAGTCAAATCAATATTCAGGCTACAAAAACGCATTATCCGTATTATGACCAGCTCTCATCCACGTAGTTCATGCAAAAACCTTTTTCGAAATTTAAAAATCCACACCCTAACAGGACTGTACATCTTGGAATCACTAAACTACATTCATTCAGCTAAAAACGACCTCCCAGAATCAATTCAAATCAACCATAGATATAATACTCGAAATGAAAACATTTTTAGATTTCCAAGGCACCATTTGACCCTTTATGAAAAAAGTCCACTATATGCTGGGCTGAGGCTGTACAATGTGCTGCCTGCAAATTATAAATTGCTAAATGAAAATAATTTTAAAGATAAAATAGGTGAACTCTTAATTGACAGAGCCTTTTATTTAATTGCAGATTTTCACAATGCCCCTTTAGTTTAGAATAGTTTTATCATTCAATTTTGTTAATTATATTATCATCTTGATTACTATTTTATTTTTTATATTCTGACAATTCAAACTCTGACAATGCACCTATTCTGTATGTAACACATGTAAAGAATGTTATGTGCAAATAAAATATGTCTATGTCTATGTCTATGTCTCTTTAAAAAGGTCTAGAGAGAAATTGGGAAACTTTGTGTTTTGAGGGTAAAAAATGAGAACAACTGATTTCTACCCCATAAATCCCGTTCCCATGGTTCGATCAGCGAACTCATTCTAGTTTATCCCGCATTACACCTTTAAACCAAATATCATTAAAATCGGAAAAAAATCACTCAAGTTATTGCGTTCACAGACGTCACTGTCCGACTACACAGTTGTTGTCTTTGTACTGGCTTCTTGAGGTGTCGGTAGATTAGGGATAAACCAGCTAGAAGTACAATATGACAACACCGCAGAGACTTGGCAACACCGCAGTCTTACAAGAGAAAGCTCCAGTACAGTATCATAAACTCACCCCCATCCCCTAACATACCAACACCTCAAGAAGCCAGTACAAAGACAACACAGCCGGGCAGTCAGAAAGTGACATATGTAGCGCCCCCGGTCCGCTCACGCGCTCGGAATTCCACACTCGTGCCATGAATCGTCCGCGAATGTAAATTAGTGTAAATAAAAATAGGATAGTGCGTTTATAGTGACTAAGTGATAGTGATGTGAGAAGAAACAAGAAACAGCTCCTGATGATGCCACACTTGTGGTGAAATGTACATAAAGCATTAACTTATAAATTCATCAAGAACCTGGCAATCAAAAGGTAAACAACATAATGTAAATATATTATTACAAGTGTTATTTGACATATTTTTTGTGCTTTCAGATAGTTAATAGGACAGACGGATGACCCTTGGTCTGTTGCTTTCACACACTTATTACTGGTACACTGATTTATAATCAGACAATTAAAAAAATCGGATACCCCACTCCACCAGGAAGTTAATTAGCGGTTCCGTGGAGTATCCAATAGAAATCAATCACCACTAACCTTTTTTTAGCCTATATGTATTTACCGTTTTGTGAGTAAACAGTATAAGTGTAATTATATTATTACAAGTGTTATTTGACATATTTTTTGTGCTTTCAGATAGTTTTAGATTGTTGGTCTGTTGCTTTCACACACTTAAATATACATGTCTGTTACACTAATTTATAATCGGACAATTAAAAAATCGGATACCCCACTCCACCAGAAAGTTAATTAGCGGTTACGTGGAAAGTGTTGTAACATATAGTTAACTATTGACCGTGAATATTTCATTGTTTCGTTTTTACTTTACCGACATCGAAAAAGAAAAAAAAAACGTGACTGGGTTCATTCAACTAATCTGAAATATGATGAGGTGGGGATGTTTCATAAGAATAAGAATCGTTATTACCATTTTAACAATTTACAGTGCAATATTGTTTGTCATTTGCTACATAATAAATTGCTAGGTACATCGTATTAAAATGTAGGCCTAATTAAATGTCTCACAGAAAGGAATAAGAATAATTTAATGAAATAAGTTAAATAAGTAAATGAAAGTAAATTAAATTAAGTTAATTAACCCTAGAAAGGTATCGTCATACAGCATGACGCTAAGGTATCGTCATGCATTGTGACACTAAGGGTATCAATACGTAAATTTTACGTACTGCTGGCCGTGTTGCCATACACTAACACAAAGGGTATTTACACATTTAAGTTTGACGTATGCGTTCCAAGAAACTGACTAGCAAGTGCTTAAGAACAACACTACGACCCAACCAAGGCAGCCATCGCAAGGAAAATGACTGCTGAGAGCACTGCCAGAAGTAGGGTATTATCGGTTGAGGGGGTGGGGGGTGAGACGCTAAAAATAACTCGCAATACATCAAATTTACATGCAATACCCATCTAGGGTTAAATACAGTTAAAATATGATAACCGCAGGAACGTAATAAAACACTACAGTACCTGTGGTAAAAATGGTAAAGTACAATTTCAAATAGAACGAGTACGGTACCTACACTAGTAGGCTACCTACATAAATAGAAACAGACTAACTTGGCTAGATGATAAACAAAAATTTGAAACAAGTCAAACAAAAGGTAAATAAAAACATGACTAACCTTGATCAAAATGGTTAAAAATCAGAAACAAGTTAGGCTAGCCGAACTTAACCCCTGAGCTGTATGTGCCCGATATTGGGCAAATTATGCCGCAGCCCAGGCGGCAGCGCCCAATGTTGGGCTCATTAACGGCGTTTGGTAAAACGTCAATTTTAACCTCGTAGGCTATTTATTTAATCGAATCTCACTTCATCCCTATAGTATGTATTCCTATCCCGACCTGTCGATTGATATCCATTTCATCAGGTTTAAGTTAAATGCCTTTGGAATATTTTTTGACAGCTGATGTGGCGACGTTGTTATGACACACTTGACATTTGGCAAGGCATTAACTTTGTTTTGGTTAGTTTGTTTACGTGTGTTACATTTTAAGTATATGGTACCCTATATATGAATTAGGCCTAATATAATTTTTTGGTCATAAAATGTTGCACATTTTGTAGCCTACATTTTGAAATTTGAATTTAAGAGCATTAGTCTATGCTATAAAACGATTTTATAGATAGGCTAGGTATAGGTATAAAAAAAAATATTTTTCCGCTCTGTGAAATGAAAATTTAAAAGAATAAGTTAACTAAAAATACATGATAAAATCACTTTTATATTATTTCTTGTTTTTTCCTGAAAAAATTGTATGTATGTTGGCCTAATGTTCCTGTGTTATTAATTTTTATAAAATTATTTGCTATTTGTTCTATAAAATAGAAAAAAAGAACGATTGAACGAGTAATAGGCCCTATTCCAGCTCTATGTAGACTAATATTTTTGAGGGTGTCAATTGGGAGAGGATTTATTCCGGCTCAGATGCCACAAATGCCTTCTCTCTCTTCTCAGATCTTTTCCAGATGGAGTCTGACTCTGTTAAAACAGTCAAAAATAAGTTTAAAGACACTAGGCCTAAGTTCCTCAAGCTCTCATCTAAGAACTGATATAACTTACCCCAGAATTGAGTAATTTGCACTCTCTAATGGTTATAGTACGGTACATGACCACTACAACTCGACCCATGACCCTGCTTTGTAAACCAAATACCTAATTTCTCTCTCTACTCTAAAATAAAGAAAGATGATGTTTACAGCTCTAAAGTTAAAACTGCCAAAAAAACTCTCTAATGCTCAAGCTTAGAGCATGTCATCATGATAAATAAACAGGGGCACACTTCTCTTTTTGCTGGCGACACTACGTTATTTACGAGGCACAGCAACCTAACTGATCTGAAGGGTGAGGCATCCTACTTGCTTGATGAGACCAAGGAGTGGTTTGCAAGAAACCGGGTCAAACTAAATAATGAGAAAACCCAAGCCAACCAGTGGGGTGGCATGTATATAGAATGAATAGTAGGCCTAACTCTATGGTACCCTTAATTTAGCTTTTAAAATTTAAAAACATATAGGCCTAACCTACTAAATAAGATTACACAAAATGCAGTAGTAAGACAACTTTAACAGACTGGAAGAACTTTAAAATTGAATGGAATTATTGATTAAGTTAGATAGCCTATGTTAAATATTACTACCCGAGACTGGTGTCAAAAATCATTTGCTGTTAACCTTACCTGAATTGATGGTGGAAACTAAAGCTATGCACAGCACAAATATTGAATCAAATGACGAACAAATCATTGTTCTTTGAAATGAATTCTTATTAAAACGTTAAACTAATCAAAGAAAACTTAAACACTTTAGCCGTTCTTACATTGGATAAGTAGAAACAATGAATGAATGCATAACAAAACAACAAAACAAAACAAACGGAGACCAAGACTCCGTCGTGGGGTCCCAGTTTATCGACATCCCAAAAGATCGACACTGAAATAGTCCCATAATGTCGACAACTCAAAATGTCGACAGTGTCGGTAATATGGGATGTCTGTAAAGTGGGATGTCGGTTATGTGGGATGTCTGTTATGTGGGACGGTTGTGTAAATTTTCCCACTTTATCGACACGCAAAATGTCGACAAGCAAAACAGATCGACAAAGAGCGGGAGATTCAAATTGAAGGTGAACAGCTCTTGCTGAACAGCTCGGTTGAGTCCAGAATAAGAGTCGTTCTTTTTTAAACTCCGAACGACTTCTATCCACGGCGCCTGCAGCTGCAGTCTCCTTCAAATTTGTCAATGCTATCTCAACTATTTTGTGTATATCAATTGTGTTCTGCCGTTTTGAAGGCTTTACAATAATTTGTCATTTTTCACACTTGTATTGTGATTTATTATACTGTTTTTTTTCGTGCAAGAAAGTAGTTAAAACTTGCTATCTAGGCCAAACTTTGCTTGCGGATAGTTAGTTATGGTATCCATCCAACGTTTTTTCAATCAGAAATTAATTTGAAATTTATAATGATATACATAGTTTTCATTTAACTTGCTAGCTTAGTGTTACAAACAGATTAACCCAAATAACGATTTTACGTTGTTCATTGTTACACTTTGAAATATTAAATGAGTTGTAGTACGTATCAGCAACTTACACCGGAAATGAGGAAATGTAAAAACTGCGTTAATTTACCTAAAAAAACTGCAGATGCATTGATTCTTTTGTTAACCTTTCCATTACCAATATGGCGATCCATAAAAAGTAATGACAACATAAAATTTTACAAATTTCTTTCCAAACTATTTTGTAGAGTTAAAAAACAAATTATTTAGTATATTGAAGCATTATTATGCGCTTACTAGTTACGGAGAAAACTCGAACAGTTTAAAATCCCTATGTTTATTCTTATGGAGAATAAGTAAACTGTTGTAGTTAGCTTGATTATGAACATATTTTGATCAAATTTTGAAAATGCATTTATTTCATACTAAACTACATGTAATAACATTTTTTAAAACCCCTTTTAAACCCTACCTGTTGCAACAGACCTAAGTACTTGTTAAACTAATGCTATATTTAAAAATTAGGGAATAATTTTGTGATATTTTTAAGGAGATTATGTAAATCCAATCAAGCAAATGGAAATTCGTTTAGTCTACAGGTTTGCTGCGGAGGGAGGGGTATTTAAAATAAATCATAGAGTTGTAACAGTATTTTCAATCACACAAACCACTACTTGTAAACTGTAATGGCTACTTAGGAAACGTAAACACCTTGTCTAAATGCAGTTGGTACTGTATAAAGAAATAGTATATGCCTACTTAAGGCTGTGTCACACTAGGCTACTTTACTAGCCGCTAGCGAAATAGCGGCTACTCATAGCCAATCTGACATAGGCAGTAGCGGCTGGTAGGAGTAGCGCGCTAGTCTCATTTCACTAGCGTCGAGAATTGAACATGTCCAATTTTCCGAGCTACTAACTAGTAAGTAGCCTAGTGTGACACAGCCTTTACTGTATTTGGTTACTAGAGTATTCTAGCCCGGTAAGGTGTTTCACCAAAGGCGTAGCCGAGTGCGGGATTTTCGTGCGAGTACGGTAGCTATAGTACCGGGTGAGTAACACGATAGGTACTTTACATCATACTACACAGAAAAATCAGTACATATTTAACTCATTCATAACACAATCTATTTAGGACAGAACATATATTATATTTCAAAAAATAAAATAGGCCGCTAAAATTAGCTGTTTATTTCAACAGCAACAGCTGACTAAGTACACGGGAAAAGTACATTACGTAAATTTTCCGTGTGTAGGCATGGCAAAGGGTAACTTTCCATCCACAGGATGGAAAAGTACCTGTTTCTGTGTAGAATTTTATTACACACAAAGTTAGGTGTTAAAATTAAGTGTTTATTCTTAGATCCATAACAGGCCTAGATTTGTAAACTATACATCCGATTTAACCACGTTCTCTTCCCGTTGCGAAGCTCGGTTACTATATAGCAGCTCGTATTTTCTGAAAATGTCAGATTATTTCCTCGTTAAACAACGTTCATTTCAATGAGTACCTACTCGGGTTTGCTGCTACGGGGAAGGTAATTTCGGTGCGTTTTTGTATTGAAAAGTTGTTGGCTAAGCAGTATGAAATAAACAAAGATTACCAAATTTGATTGAAGTAAAATCCGAGAACAATAAAACTAAAACAGTTTTGTTATTATCCTTAAGAATAACTTGGGAATTTCTTATATATCCTTAACCGGTAGACATGCAACAACGCTTCAATAAACTAAACTATTTCTTTTTTTTTACTCTAAAGTCATAATTCATTTATTTAACCAGATTTACATAAGTTACTAGCATTCGAGATTCAAATATTCAAGATTCAAATAGTCTTTATTCAATATATAACATATGTTAAACATACGTGTATCTGAATAGAGTCAAAATCTACATATAAACCATTGATGCTGATCAAGGTTTTTTACAATATTTTTTTAAATAAACCACATTGAGAACTCAGAGCAGTCATTTTTTGGCAGCGGGTATGGTATGGTAAAAATCGAAAACTCTAAATTCATTTACATAGCTAATGTGTTTATTAAAATACTAGCTGTACCCACGGGCTTTGCCCCGTTTAACTTCATATGTGAGCTCGTTCGCATGGCTCAATCACGTCCTGGTGGAAGTTCGTTCGCTACGCTAAAAATAAAATTAGCTGTTGTAAAATATTAAAAAAAATAATAGTGTTACACTCTGTTGGTAATCCTTGTAACTTTAATGCTATTTAACATCATAGAACAGAATCAACTTGTTTAATTGAAACAGTATTTTAAGATTCATTAATTCCATCTAAATATGAGTACTCATTAGGTTAACATGGGAAACTCCAGAGCCACAGAGCCCGAGAGTCCGATCAGAATAAAAACCACTTAGTTTTCCTATTTAATGCCTAAAGAATCAGTGTACCAAATTTCTGCCTTCTAGGTAAGTGGGAAGTGGGAGAATTAGTGATGAGTGAGTGAGTGAGTCAGCCAGTCAGTGAGGGCTTTGCCTTTTATTTAACCTTTCAGAGGGCGCATTGGTTTTCAAAACGAGAGAGGGCGCACCCGGAGGGTTACTTCCAGGTCTATAAAAACAAACATTTATGAAGTAAAATTTGTATTTTAGTGCCCAAATTAGGTTTTAATTTAGTTTTAAACATTATAGTGAACTCTTAATTATAAGATAACGTAATTTTGATTTTCTAAATATAAAGTTAAACTATTATTCTATCAAATGTTCTAACATAAAAGTATATGAATACATCTTTTACAAGAATATATTCAAGAAGTTAATTTAAATTTCAATGTCCTATAATGTGGTTTTAGATGATACCACTCTCAGGTTATCAGCATTGCCCAGTTCGTATACTATTTATTTTTCAAATGAAACTTGAATTAATATAAAACATTCATTTGGTTAAAATAATATATCGGTTTGATTAACATAAAATAGTTTATGCAGGCAAACTATCAGTTATATTTCATGTAAAACATTAAACAACCCCTAAATAAAATACAAAGATAAACAGTATTTGTTAATTATTATTTCTTTTATTGCTGACAATATTCCCGTGGCGGAGCACGGGCGGTTAACTAGTTATTATTTGAGTGAAAGTGTTATATGACTGCCACCATAGAAGACGGACTTTTTCCCTTGCTGTATCTATACTTATTTAATACGCAAGCAGGATTTTTGTGACAATTACTCCTCCGAAACTACTGAACCGATTGACAAGGTTTTGGTGTCATTGGAAAGAGCGTAACGTGTAGTTGTGCAGGAATGAATTCACATTGCCTTAATTCACAATGTTTACATTTGCTTTGACATTTAAATGTAAAAAACCAGAACTGTCAAATGCCTATTTCACAATTTCAGACAGCTGATCCAAAAAAATAAAACAACTATGTGGTAGGTTTATTTAATCTTAAACTTTATGATGGATTATTTATTATAAATCTATACAATGATTATGAAACAGATTTTTCCCGTTGCGAAGCAAACAATAATAGTGAGAAGAACATATGAATTGTAAACAGTCAACGTGTAAATTATCCATGTTGTATTAAAAATGTGTATAGTTTTGGATGTTGGTTTGTGTTTCATGATATAAGTTATTAGTTATTGAATTTGTATTTTAAGGATTTGACATATGAGTAGGCCTATGATGAATAACACCATTTCAGAGTTCTGCCAGTTTTTGCCTAACTCTGTCCTGTAGAGTTTAAAGTACCGTAGCCTACACCTTATTGTCTACAAATTTGCTAAATAAGGTAGGTACGGTACTTTATAAAAGCTGACCGCCTTTTTTCGTTGACTTAAATTGTAAGCTTACCTTTTCCCGTCCATGGGCAGTTTGATTGTTAAAAATTAACCCTTTAAACTAGAATGGGACTGTTATGTAAATTGTGAGTATTTTCTTTACCAGTTAATAATCTTTTAGTTGACTCTTTTAAAATCATCGGAAATTATGACTGTAATTAGTTTTAAACAAGTTATTTGTTTAGAAATAACTCCTGTACTTGTTTGCAATTGCTCGATTTCGAGCAACATGTACACTAGTTTGTTTATTTATATATTTTAAATTGTAATACTCTGTTAAAGATCTTTTTACATGATTAATGCTACTGATGTGTCTTTTCTAACATACTGTATGTTTAACAAAATACCATATGTTATGTTTAATAAGTTAACTTTGTTTTTGTTTACAATCATTGTTATTTAGGATTCAATTCAGAATACACCTATTTTATTTTACACATCTTTTATTTAATATGTAACAGTTTGGCAACGAGGAAAACCAGTTTTTAATTTTTTTTTACATTCTATTTATTACAATTTATTTTTTAATATGAGTGACCTAAGTGTCAAATAATGAAGTTTTATAGTGTATTAAAAACTTTTATTCTAGGAATAAAATGTTACATCTGAATTATTTGTAAATACAAAAATACAACAACCTCCAGATGATCTTAATAATTATCAAATCAATATTACAGAATAACAAACATATGACATCTTCTCTTCCTCTTTTTAAAGACACGTTCTTGGATTTATTTGTCTACCAAATGAGGAAAAACAATTAGGCTCAGTTCCAGGGTCATCAGATGTTTTGGGTTGTAGTTGTCTTAACATTACCCCGTTGCGACGTAAGATGCCTTCATTTGTCTTAACTCTGTATGATCTTGGAGCTACCTTATTAACTATCTTCCCATCTTCTCTCCTATCAGGAATATACACGTTGCATCCAATAGTGAATTGCTTTTCATCTCTCACTCCATGCCGTTTATTGAAGTAATCTGCTTGAGTTGTTCTATATAGTTTGTCCAATTCTCTAAATCTCTTGTGATCTACCATTTTAGGCTTAAGATCTTTTGTCAACGACGGTAATCGGGTTCTTAATCTTCTTCCCATCAACAATTCCGAAGGGCTGTACCCTGATGGACCTGGTGTTGACCTGTACTCCAATCGTGCAAGAGTGGGGTCTTTGTTCTTTGTAAGCATCTTTTTAAGCGTTTGGACTGCTCTTTCAGCTTCACCGTTTGCCTCATGGTGTGTAAGGGACTACAACAAATAGCTTTAAACCCAAAATCGGCTGCAAAGGCTCTCCATTCTGAGCTTATAAACTGCGAGCCAGAATCAGAAATGACGATTTCAGGGATCCCATGTCGAGCAAAACAGGCTTTCATTTTCTTTATTAATTCATCTACAGTCATAGTGGACACATTTATCATTTCCAAGTATCGTGAATAATAGTCCACAACAGCCAAGTACTTGCCTTTCACAAAGTCAAAGTAATCAATGGCTATTCTTTGCCATGGATAGTCATTCAGGAGTGTCTGATTGAATCATTTTTTCTGACCTTTGATTTTGGTGTTTAGCACAAGTGTCGCAATTTTCAATCAGGTTATGGATCTCTGTTGTAATTCCTGGCCAAAACACAGATTGTTTCGCTCGGAGGACTGTGCGTGTAGACCCGAAATGACCATCGTGCAGTTTACTCATGATATCCTTTCTAAGTTCAAATGGGATGATAATTCTTTCTTTATAACAAATCAAGTCTTCTATTAGAGATAGGTCGTCTTTAAACGTATACCACTTTCTCATTCTCTCTGGCACATCCTTCTTATATTCAGGCCATCCATTTTCTGTGTATTTCACCAACATCTGACATTCTTCACACAGGATCTGGGCATTCTTTATTTGTTCCAATCTTGTCTGTGTTGCTGGAAAGTTTAAAGATATTACCTTAATGTGTGCCTCTACCTCTTTTGTGAACTCATCTGTAGAATCTGGGATCGGCGCTCGGCTTAATGTGTCTGCTGTAAACATTTCTTTTCCCGGAATGTGTTCGATGGAGTAGTCAAATTTCATCAATCGCATTTTGAATCTCTGAATCCTAGCTGGTATTGTGTCTAGGTCTTTGCTTCCAAGGAGCGAAACTAATGGTTTGTGGTCTGTTAGGATTCTAAATTTTTTTCCAACTAAAAACTTAGAAAACTTTTCTGCGGCCCATGCACATGCAAGAGCCTCCTTTTCTATCTGGGCATATCGTCTTTCACAATCCTGTAAGGTCCTTGAAGCAAACATCACTACTTTGGGAGATTTATCTTCAACCTGAAGTAACATCGCACCCAATCCATATGCTGATGAATCGGCTATAACAATAGCTTCAGCATTTACATCGCACTTAGTTAAAGATATTGATTCCTTGACGGCCTGTATAGTGTCTGAAAGGGCTTCTTGATGTTGGCTTGTCCAACAAAATTGTCTATTCTTTCTAGTAAGCTCACAGAATGATTCAGTTTTATCAGCTAAGTTTGGAATGAACTTGTTCAGTTGATTCTACATACCATTTAAACGTCGAACTCCCGCAATATCTTTAGGAGGGGGAAGTTCCTCGAGTGCTCGTATGCGATCGGGATCGATCTTGATACCATTACAGTCAATCAGGTTTCCAAGAAACTTCACAGATGTTTGAGAAATAGAACATTTTTCTTTGTTCAGTACAACCTTTGCTTTTTTCAAGCGATCTAATACTTGAGTGAGCCGGTAATCGTGTTCTTCTTGCGTTTGGCCATGTATAAGTATGTCATCCATGTGACATAATACCCCATCGATACCATTCAAAAGTTTAAACATCTGTGTAGTGAAGAACTCTGGAGCGCTTGTAATGCCAAAGGGTAATCTCTTGAAATAAAATCTTCCGAATGGAGTAATAAAAGAAGTTAGTTTAGCTGTGTCAGGTGATATTTTAATCTGCCAAAACCCTGACTGGGCATCTAGTTTTGAAAATATTTTAGAGCGTCCAATTTGTCCTAGTGTTTCTCCTACATCTGGTAATTATCTTTGGGCGTTTAACATTCCTATTAAGTTCAGTATAATCGACACACAAACGTAGACTACCATTGGGCTTGTGGTACTATTGGTGCACACCAGTCAGTTGGAGACTCCACTTTTTCTATTACTCCTAAGTCCAACATTCTGTTCAATTCTGTCTCCACTTTTGAACGTAAAGGAATTGATATGTTTCTTGGAGCACGAACTGAGTACGGTTGAGCATTATCGTTCAATTCAATCTTATACTCTCCTGGAATGCTACCCAGACCAATGAAAAGCTCAGGATGGCTAGTTAATACAGAGTCTAGGGTAATTGAGTTAAGTCCTGCAGTATCAGATTTTCTGAGGGTTATGAGATTTAAAGATTTAATCGCAGGAATTCCAAGTAAAGGTTCATTTAATCCTGCAACAACATAAACCTTTTCTTTTACCATTTTTCCATTGTAAGCTATGTCTGCTATAAACATACCTCTTACATCTAGTTCCCTCTGATCAGCATTCCTAAGTATACGGTCAGATTTTATAAGTTTTGCATGAATTACATTTAAAGGAATGGCTGTAACTTCTGCACCTGAATCAAGTTTCGCTTTAACTAACTGGTTATTGATAAATATTTCTACATACCAAGAACTGGAGTCATAGCAAGAAGCATTCACAGGTCCTAAATATGCTACTGAAGCTTCAGTGTTGTCAGGCTTGTCCAAATGTCTGATTTCGTTAAGTCCTTTCGTATTGCCCGTTGTTTTAGTCTCTAATAATCTGCTTCTACAATGTTTGGCAAAGTGACCGATTTTTTCACAGTAATGGCATGTTAAATCTTTAGCAGGGCATAAGTTCCTGGGATGACTTGGACCTCCACAGTTCCAACAACATTCTTTCCTAGCTGTCTTTAAATCTTGGGCTTTGTTAAATCTTTCATTTTGTTTTTGGTCTGATTTGATTCGGTCAACTTCTGCAAGTTTTCCTTGGCATATCATTTCTAGTTCAGCTGCTTGTTTGCTGATGGACTCTTTTTGTTTGCATTTTTGAACTGCTTTTTCCAATGTAAGATTCGAATCTTCTTGTAATTGGGCCGATAAACGTTTGTCAGTTATACCCACTACAATTCTATCACGTATTAGTTCTGCCTTAAGGTTCTTGAATGAACAGTGTTCGGCCATTGAGCTTATGTCTGCCAGAAATATATCAAATAATTCACCTGGTTGTTGTGATCTCGAATTAAACTTTGCTCGTTCGTATATGACATTTCTTTTGCCAGTAAATATGTTATCAAAGGCTTCTGTTACAGCTTCATACGAGGCTTTGTCATCTTCTGAGAGGTGTGCTGTCGATAAGATATCCTCAGAATCAGGCCCCATACAGTAAATCAAGCAGCTCACTTGTTTTACTTGAGGTTCATTGTCCAGTCCTGATGCAATTCTATACCTTTCAAATCGCTTAAACCACTTTTCCCATAACTCTGGATATTTGGAATCAAAAGGTTCAGGAGGTTGAAACATGACTGATGTAGTCCTATTTTGCTGCAGTCTTTGTTGTAGAACATTTAGTGTTTCTGATGATTGATTTGATTTACTGTTTCCTTTGGTGGATAATCTATTGTTTCTTGGCATTTTAAACAAACTAAACCGCTGCCACCATGTCAAATAATGAAGTTTTATAGTGTATTAAAAACTTTTATTCTAGGAATAAAATGTTACATCTGAATTATTTGTAAATACAAAAATACAACAACCTCCAGATGATCTTAATAATTATCAAATCAATATTACAGAATAACAAACATATGACACTAAGTTACACTGAAAGTTTGACTGATTTAAAGAAGATTAGAGTAGTAGTGAAGGGTCAGTTGTCTAAGGCTGAAAGATGGCTAGCAAACCTACAAAACATGTCAAAAGAAGTAATCAAAACCAGGATAACAACAATTGAAGATTATTGGGAAAGATTTAATTCTGTACAACAATTAATAGAAGAGAAAACTGAAGAAGCTGAAATTGAGAAAGAAATAGATTACAGAGTAGAAATGGAGGACAAATATTACAAGGTAATGGATGAGTTACAAAAACGTATGGGACAGCTTGCAGAACTACAAGTGAACACTCAAAATATTGTTCCTAGTACATCAAATTTGTCTACTCCACAACGTCGATCCACTACTTCCTCAATGATTTTCACACCATATCAGGAAAATGAATCATTCAAGAACTTCATTCGTCGATTTGAGATATTTCTATATCTACAGGGTGGGGCAGCATAACTTCCTTTTTTCAAAGCTTAATAAAACGCACTGTATGAGTCAGACAAACTTTATTTGGTTTTTATAGTGTAAGTACATTCCTAAAGTTTTGTTTTACGTAGATTTGAAGAATAAATAATGCAGGTGACATCCCCCATACTAGATATATTGAGTATACCGATTTCTGGTGATTTTCATTACCTTTTCAAGCATAGCAGGCGTTATGTTTGCAATTTCTTCCTGGATCTTGTTTTTTTTATCTTGAAGGGTCCTTAGACGGTTCACATAAACGCGGGACTTAAAAAAAACCCATAGAAAAACCCGAAAGGGGACAAATCGGGAGATTGGTCCGGCCATTGCAAATTGCCCCTGATTGAAATAAGGCGTTTTGACAGATCCTGCACAATCGCCATCTTGTATGGATGGAAATGTAGGTCATCACGGAAAATTCTCATTACAGAACGATTGGAATGTCCAAGGGCAGACGCATGTTTGAGCGCTGGGCGCCTTAGTGATCGCAACATTGCCTCAATGTCATGCTCTCACTGCCTCAATGTTCTCAGGTGATCTAATGGGCCACGGGACTCCAGTTGTTGTTGTTGCACTTGCAGTTTGTCTAAACGTATTGAACCACATAACAATTGATTTCCAGTCCGGAACAGGGCCCAACTGGGCTAAATTAAACCGATTTCAAAAAGGCGTGCGATCACTGAACATACACTCGAAAAGTAGGCGTCAACAGAAAACGCACGCTCCTCACTGTTCCAACCCATAATGGCGACTAAACTGTGCTAGGGCAAAACTTTATAGCCTCGCCTCTCCAACGAGACTGCTAACTCTTCGCTATGACATGAACAAACAAAATGGCGCACATTTAAAAAAAGGAAGTTATGCTGCCCCACCCTATACATAGCCAAGAATTGGAACCAAAGGATCAAGTGTACACAATGCTACATGCCTTAACCCCACATTTACATCAGAAGCTGTATGATTTGTGCGCTCCCGAAAGTCCTTTGGATAAAACATATGCTGAATTAGTAAGTCTTTTGGCTGATTATGTTGACCCTAAACCTAGTACTTGGGCCTTACAACATAAATTTATGACAAGAACACAAGAATCTGAAGAAACCGTAAAAATATATTCCGTTGAGCTTCAAAAGTTATCTTCAGACTGTGACTTCAACTGTAATAATTGTGGGAAATCAATTGCAAACACATTACTACGCATGCAGTTTATAAGAGGTATTAGCAATTCGGTACTTTCCTGTTAAAGGGAACATTCATTATTATCGATGATTTATTTTCGATATATCGATATTTTTGTTTTCCATCCGATATATTGATAGTAACAAATTGAAACATATCAGCTGACAAGTACGATATAGGATACAGTAAATAAATATCGTTCAGTATCAACAAACAATTAAAAAAATATTATTTTGAAATGAAACTGTTCTAAACTAACCTAACCAACCAAACTTGCTGTAACATTTCAAAATCCAAAATGCCTTTTCTGTTATCAAATGTAATTTTTAAACGGTAACTTAGCCTATACAGCAAGTTTGGTTAGTTATGTTAGGTTAGTTTAGAATAGTTTCATGTCCTAATCCAATATACAGGCTATTATTTATGCCTAAACAAGGTTGGTTCTTCATTTGTAATTTAAATGCGTATGACGATATTAAAACAGATGTACCAATCATGAAGTAAAACAAAAATATCGATATATCGAAAATAAATCATCGATAATAATGAATGTTCCCTTTAACAGGAAAGTACCAGCAATTCAGACATAAGAACAAAATTATTACAAGAAAGATCTGCTTCATCGTTTCAAGATGTAGTGAAACTTGCCTCCATCATGGAATTGGCAAAGAACGAAAGCTATATAGTAGAAGAAAACATTCATTCAAATGAGAAAATCAACAAGATAGCAGGTACAGGAACAAAACCACCCCATTTTTCTCCTACTTGGAACAAAAAGTTAAAGTCTCCATTTGAACGCCTCAAAGGTAAATGCTATTGTTGTGGATCACCTAGACACAGGGCACATCAGTGTAAATTTATCGGAGAAATATGTAAGAAATGCAACAAACAAGGGCATATTGCTAGCGTATGTTTAGGCACAAAACAAACAGAAATTCATTGTACCGAAACTGACAATACTATAGACTATTATAAGGAAGAGAAACAAGAGGTTTTTAAGATACACAACCAGAGTGCCGGTAATGACAAGTTAATGGTCGAGATACTTATTGAAGGTAAACCTGTGCGGATGGAGTTAGATACTGGAGCAGCAATAAGTATTCTACCATACTCTACCTTCAAAAGTCTCAACATAAATAAAAAGATTTTCCACACAAACATAGAACTAAGGACATACTCAAGCGAAATAATCAAACCCCGGGGTGTCGTCTTTGTAGAATGCACTTACAATGATCAGGTGTTTGTTGGGAAACTCTACATAATGAACCAAAATTTCGATGCAATTTTTGGAAGAGAATGGATTAGAGAGGTCAAACTGGATTGGGCAGAAATTAAAACAGTTAGTAACAATACTACATCTACTGCACTCGAAGATCTTTTGGATGAATTCAAGGAATTATTTGAACCAGGAGTAGGACTCATACCTCACAAAAAAGCACACTTACAGCTTGTTGAAGGGGCAAGACCTATTTTTGTGAAGGCTCGTCCAGTCCCATATGCACTAACTGAAAAAGTAGAACTCGAGTTGAATCGTCTGGAAGAAGCTGGAATCATTTCCAAAACAGACAAGTCCGATTGGGGTACTCCAATTGTACCTGTAGTAAAGCCTAATGGTAACATACGAATATGCGCTGATTACAAGGTTACAGTAAATAAACAAATCAAAGAAGAACATCATCCAATACCTCGGATCGAAGACATTTTTGCTCAAATGAATGGAGGACAGTTGTTCTGTACTTTGGATTTAAGTAACGCTTATCTCCACTTGGAAATGGATGCTGAGAGTGCAGAAATTCAAACTTTGAGCACTCATAAAGGACAATACATAGTTAACAGACTGATGTTTGGTGTAAAAGTTGCTCCAGGAGTTTGGCAAAAGGTGATGGACGGAATCCTTCAAGACCTTCAAGGTGTTCAGTGCTTCTTCGACGATATAATAATTCAAGGAACGTCATCAAAAGAACTACTAGAAAGACTAAAGCAAGTGTTTGAGCGTTTAAGGAGTCAAAATTTGAAGTTGAACCGTGACAAGTGCAAATTTTTTCAAAAGAAAATTGAATACTTAGGACATGTTATTGACGCCACTGGAATCCACAAAAGTAAGGATAAAATCACAGCAATTACAAATGCACGAAGGCCTCAAAACATACAGGAACTCCGATCTTTCCTAGGGCTTGTTAATTACTACAACCGGTTTGTAAAGAATTTGTCCACTGTTTTAAATCCTTTACATGGACTTCTAAAAAAAGGGCAGTCATTCATATGGGACAGTAAGTGTGAAGAAAGTTTCCAAAACATCAAGAAAAGAATAACAAGTGACACAGTTCTTTGTCACTTAAACCCAGACCTGCCATTGATCCTTGCAACTGACGCTTCACCAGTGGGACTTGGAGCAGTGATATCACATCGTTTCCCAGATGGAAGTGAAAAGCCTATAGCTTTTGCTTCAAGATCATTGACCAATGCTGAAAAACATTACAGCCAAATCGATAAAGAAGCCACAGGTATATACTGGGGGTTGAAGAAATTTTTTTCTTATTGCTACGGACGTCATTTCACACTCATCACGGACCATAAACCATTAGTGTCAATCTTCAATCCCAACAAGAGCCTACCGTCAATGTCAGCTACGCGACTATTCAACTACTCCCATTTTTTATCAGGATTTAACTACACAATTGAATTCAAGAGAACTGGTGACCATGGGAATGCAGATTTCCTCTCAAGATTTCCTGTGGAAGATTCAAAATTTACAAGTATTGACCAGTTTGGACATTTTCAAACAAACCAATTGAACACCATAACTATCAATCCCAAAGAACTAGCCGAAGAAACTAAGAAGGACGCATATCTAAAACAAATTCTTGAGGCTCTTGAGGAGGGTCAATCATTAGAGCCATTGGGATTTCACGATAATGAAGTTACATTACATGAAGGATGCCTCTTCAAAGGGTGGAAAGTAATCATACCAAATTCCCTCAAGAAAAGAATTCTCAATGAACTACACTACGGGCACATTGGTAAAGTAAAAACCAAAGCTTTGGCAAGAAGTTACTGCTTTTGGAGAGGAATGGATAAAGACATTGAAAACATGATTGCTGTTTGCAAGCCTTGTCGTGAGAAACAAAATTCTCCAACGAAAGAGATCAACCATCCTTGGGAACCAGCAACTCAGCCATGGGAGAGAATACATATAGATTTCATGGGCCCAACAAATGGACAACAATTTTTTATTGTTGTTGATGCCTTCTCCAAATGGGTAGAGGTAATACCCACAAAAACAGCAACTACCGATTGGACTATTAAGGAGTTGAAGAAACTTTTTAGTACTTTTGGTCTTCCAAGCCTCCTAATTTCAGACAATGGACGAAGTTTCACTTCTCTTACTTTTCAAGAGTTTCTTAAGTCATGTGGAACTCAACACAAAAAGACTGCTCCGTTCCACCCATCATCTAATGGACAAGCTGAACGCTTTGTACAAACAGTGAAGAAGATGTTGAAGTTGATATTAGATGAACCAGGAACACTTGACAGTAAAATTCACAAGGCGTTAATTCAACTCCGTCAAGTACCAAACTCAACAGGAAACTCGGCATACTATCTCATGTTCAACACACAAGTAAGAACATACCTCAGTGTTATGATACCTTCTAGAATCGAGGACTCAAAAGACAAACCTAAAGGTATAACACGCATATTTAAGGTGGGAGACCGTGTTCAAGTGATAAACTACTACAAGGGTCAGACAAAATGGAGTTTCGGAAAAGTTACATCAAGAGATGGAAATCTACATTACAACGTTGAACTGGAGAACGGAGTAACATGCAGACGACATGTAGATCAAATGCTGCGATCAAGACTTTAAAGGGGGAAAATTGATGTGTCTTTTCTAACATACTGTATGTTTAAAAAAATACCATATGTTATGTTTAATAAGTTAACTTTGTTTTTGTTTACAATCATTGTTATTTAGGATTCAATTCAGAATACACCTATTTTATTTTACACATCTTTTATTTAATATGTAACAGCTACAGAGTAATTAATTGGCATTTGTGCTGTTTTGTAGCTTTAAAAAATAAAATAAAATAAAATAAATAAATAAATATTTATTCCCAATTTTAATAACATTAGATTTAACGAGTGTTTAGGTTTGCTGCTACGGGGAAGGTAAAAAGGGTTTTTGACAATACGTCAATAGTATAGGATGAAATAAATATATTTGCCAAATGTTATCAACATATATCCATAAACAAGTAAACTACAAAAGTTTTCATTTTCTCCATAAGAGAATAATATGGGAATTAAAAATTACACTTTTTTTTATTTTCTCCGCGACCGTTAGGCATACAATGGTGCTTCAATGTATAAAATTATTTTTTTTTTTAAGCTCTACAAAATGGTTTAGGAAGAAATTGCAGAATTTTTGGCTTTTAGAGTCAAAAATGGGAAAACCCCATTTTTACCCCCATATACCCCCCACCCCCCCCCCCCCCCATAGTCCAATCATGCTAGTTCGCGAACTCGTTTGAATAAATGTTGGTTTACACGTTTATACAAAATTTCATCAAAATTGGATCATTTTTGCTCGAGTTATCACGCTAACTGCTTTATCCGCTTTATGAGGCAAAAATTGGTTTTTCCCATTTTTTACCCTAAAAACTTAAAATTTAACATTTTATTTTCAAACCATTTTGTGGAGCTTAATAAAACAAATAATTTAGTATATTGAAGCGTTGCTATGCGCCTAATGGTTACAGAGAAAATTCCAAAAAACTGTAAATTTAAAATTCTCATTTTATTCTTATGGAGAATAAGTTAACTGTTGTAGTTTGCTTGTTTATGATCATATTTTGAACAAATTTGGAAAATGCATTCATTTCATACTAAACTATTAAATAGGGAGTAAATGTGATATTTTTATGGAGACATTTTAGTGTAAATCCAATCAGGCAAATGGAAATTCGCTTAGTCTGCAGGTTTGCTGCAGTGGGGGTAGTGAAATATAGCTTATTCCCTATATGGGAAATTCGCTAAAATCTATATCTATAAAAGAAGAACTATGTATGTGTGTACCTTATGGACTCCAAAACCGCTCGACAGATAGTAATGAAACTCTCAGGCATTTAAGCATCTTTCAAGGATGGTTCGAGTGGAGTTTGGTGCATATCTGTCAAAAGGGCTCTGCCCCAGAGGGTTTTAAGTGGGCCAATGTCAGACTTTTAGATCTACAATGTTTACAAATAAATCTATAAGTATAAAAGAGGATGTTTGTATACATATTTGGCAGTGATAAACTCAGACACCGCTGAACCGATTGCCACGAAACTTGGTACATAAGTGTAGAATTTCATGGAATAGGTTTATACACCATCAATTTCGTAATCCGTCCAATCGGCTCCGCCCCAGTGGCTCTGGAGTTTCCCATGTTAATCTTATGAGAAATGGAATTAATGAATCTTAACAGCTGTTTCAATTAAACAAGTTGGTTCTGTTCTATGATGTTCAATAGCATTAAAGTTACAAGGATTACCAACAGGGTGCAGCACTATTATTTCTTTTACATTTATGACAACAGCTAATTTGCAACCAAATGGTGAGTGAGCATAGCGAACGAACTTGAACCTGGAGGCGAGTTAGCATAGTGAACGAGCTAACCTGAAGGAAAGTGAGCGCAGCGAACGAGCTCCATCCTAAAGGTGAGTGAGGGTAGCGAACGAACTTCAACTAGGACGTGATTGAGCCATGCCAACGAGATCATCTTGAAAATTAAGAAGTTAAACGGGGCAAAGCCCGCGGGTTACAGCTAGTACAATTTAAAAGCAGATGTAAACATGTTAGTTATTCAATAAATTAATCTAACAAAAAACCACTAAGTGGTAACACTTTCCCCGCCAAGTCAGCAATCCAAAAAAGATGATAAATCATTGCTTTTTTCCGCCAAGAAAAACAATGTAATGTATGGCTTGTTAAATACTTCAAAACATTAATGACATCTTTACAATGGCAAAAGTTGACTGTTAATTTATTTTCTGTAGTAAAATTACATCATTATGTTTGTTTCTACTTTTATTTTTTATTTTTAAAATCACCAAGTTTGGCAACTTTTGCTTGGTTTTTTTCATTAAAGTTACGTTCGAGGATAATTTCATAAATCAACTTCTCTAATTAAATTAGTCCAACTAACTAAGTATAATAATTTCTAGGTAATTAGTAAATATAAAACCATCACTATTATGATTTTATGAAATGTGGCACAAATAAGGTGAAATTTTGTAAAATAAGGTCTCACCTAGCAATGTACTAATGGGAGAGATACTTGCTCAATGAAACTAGTTTTATGGAATTTTTTAATGTGATCGAGCAAAAGTCTACCGCCAAGTTGTCAACTTGGTGATTTTAATCACATTAATTCACATATGAAGTTAAACGGGACAAAGCCCGCGGGTACAGCTAGTACTTTATAAAAGTTTTAAAATCATTATCAGCTGTTCCTATGAATTGGTGCGATACCAGGGGCTCCCGACGACGCAGACTCCCGACGACACAGACTTCCGAACTGTGACGTCACGGCCGACCACCCCTCTCTCTATCTGAGTGGAGTGGGAGAGAGTCGTTGCGGCAACACCCTCGATCCAGCCGATGGCTTGTACTCCACACGAAAAACCCCTACAACACTATGACGTCACGGCCGTCTATCCCTCTCTCCGGGTAAAGTGGGGAAATGTGAGTTTTCGTCCGCGATTTTGATGTTGTTGATTTCCACTAAATTAACGATACAATTGTTTTAAATCAGATTTGTAAAGCATGGCATAGACATATATTTTTGATATTGTTCATTCCCACTAAATTAGCAATATATTTTAATCAGATTTGAACATAATTTTTACGCAATTTGGACATTATTGGGAAAGTGTTGAGGTTTGTGAGTAAGTATGACATCCACATAAATCACTAAACTGATTAAAGTGAATGTTGGCTTTTGAATGTAATTATTGTATATTATTAAAGCAATAAGAAGACATGTGCTGAATTTACTCTGACTTTTAATGTAAACCTGTAGAAGTTTTAACAGCACATTGGGATATACAACGTCACACAGCTGATGTAAACCAATAATTTAATTCAGAATAATCGTTTCGTTTGTTTAAACCATCGATCTCTACTACTTAGAGATCGATGGTTTAAACTAATTGGTGGGTTTATTAATTATAATACTGTGTTATTTACTGTAGGACATGGGGATTCTATAATGGTAGGTAAAACAGACCAATGTTGTATTATTCAAGAGTATTTATGTTTAATAAATTATCATTATGCCACACTACAATGTTTTAACGAACTTCCCAAGCAAGGATTAAGGCCTAGTCCAGAAAACAGCTGTTTGCCGCCAGCTTTAGTCAAATGTGGTATCATTCCTTCCAATGTATCGTAATGAGTTTTTACCGGACAACAACCAGCTGGATGATTACGTTAGGCAATGAGTGGTTATAAACAAAATCATAACCTCTCTTATGACGAATACAGTACTTATTTTCGCCCCTCCTCCTACTTTAGAACGAATCATATAGTTTTTCAATATAAGCACAACCCACTTTACCCTAAAGCCACTTAAAGGTTTAGTTGATGTTTAAAGGAGAGTGATCGGGAAGTAGAACGGCGTGTGGTGGATATCGGGATGCATCGAAGTCACTGTCGTGGACAGGGCATATCTGAACAAGGAAAAGGCTACCTACCTACCTCGGCTATTGTGGGGTGGCCCGCCTGGCCGACCCTAATTAATTTCGCTTGACTGCACTCAACAAAAACAACTACTATACCCAATATCAAAAAGTAGGTTATCTATACAAAATATTAACATTCATTATCATATTATATTTTGTTTTTTCATGTCGATTATTTTGTCACTAAATTTGATGTACTGTAATGAATAATAACATAGTTTAACCATATCCTGTTGTTGTAATATTTTGCTAAATCTATTATGTTGAAACACAGTGTTGAAAAAATACAATAAATCGCAAATAAATCATTGCATTTAGATTGCAGCATATAGATTTTTAAAACTGTGTGAAACCCCCTCCTTTGCACATAATAGCCCTTGGCAATTCCCTTAGAAAAGCCTTTAATTCCAGGAGTATTTTTAAGATAAAGACAAATAAAATAACTGAAATAAAAATGAATTACGTATCATTGATTTCAGATAAGTCCTAAAACAATTATAATGAATTATTTGTTGATTCTGCATCGTGCTTCAGGTACGTCCGATCTAATCAATAGCTCATTTTAGAATTAGCAGATTTTAGAACACAAAAATCAACGACGTACAACTTAGTGATTGATGATATTCTTTAGTTTAATTTATGCATAGGTTTAGCAAAACACAGTAACTAAATATACAACCTTAATATACATATTAAAAAAACAATGTGACGTGCAAGTTATGTTAAGTTAATCCAACACATGTTAAGCAGTTCGAATTTATTTTAAGTACCGGTAGCCTCCAAATTCATACAAAACATCTATACATACAATCGTCTAAACCTACTTTGTACGTACATTGTACATTTTTTTTACGTTTATTCGAACGAGTTAGCGAACCAACATGATCGGATCATGGGAACGGGCCTTTGTTTTATGGGGGGATATATGAGGGAAAATTTCACAAATTTTCTATAGACAATTTTAAAGAGCTTAAAAAACAATATAGTATATTGAAGTGTTTCTGTATGATTATTGGTTACGGAGAAAATTGTAAGTAAAAAATTCCCATTATATTCTTATGGAAAATAAGTAAACAGTTGTAGGTTGCTTCTTTATGGATATATATTTGGATCAAACCTCTCATATCTATAAATTGTATATTAATCTATTGAAATTTTATTAAAAACACACTTTATAACCCTCCCTGTAGGCAGCAAAACTTAGATATTCGTTAAACCTAATTATATTTGAAAAGATTTAATTGAAAATCACATCAGGCAAATGGAAATTCGCTTAGTCTGCAGGTTTGCTGTAGCGGGGGTATATTAATTTGTTTGTTTGATATATTAACGGACATTTCCAATTTTTTAACTTTTATAACTTATGGTTCAGCGTTTACAAATTACAATACTGTAATAAATTATACTAGCGAGCTTAAGGCAAGCAATAGTTTTTAATGACCCGAGACCACAGGGTAGTGAACAGAATGTTGTGCAATTTGCACCAATACGTGAGCATGGTAAGAAGTTATTATGGAAAATCTGTGAAGGAATTAGTCCAATATCGCACAAAAACTGTGTTACCTTCTAATATCCAGTAGTGCATGCGATGGGTCGTTGTCGCGTTTAACATTATCTATCTTCCAAATTCAATAACAATCATAGCATGTTAAAATCAAGCCACGACCTAAACACAGTACAAAAGGAAAAATACAAATTATGATTACTGATCAAATAATACAGAGAAAGTCTTAAGTTGACATTTAAATCACAATTTGGAAACGACCACTGATTGAATGGGTACAGTATTTTACGGATTTGAATAACGTCGTTTTTGTATGAGATAGTTCCCTATGGAATAAGACATATTTAAATTGAATATCACATGGCCAATATAATCGAGTTTTGGCAATGAACAACATAAAGATTTCGGGCGACTATTTTAATAATTCTAATAATTTGTTCTAATCTTTTTAAGCGGAAATATATGTGTAAGGCATTGTATGTGTCAAAACTGATTAAAAATATATTGCTAATTCAGTGGTAATTACGTGCCATCGGCTGGACCGGGGGCGTTGCCGCAGGGAATTACGTGTGGAGGTTAAGCCGTCGGCTGGACCGGGGGGGTTGCTACAGAGAATTACGTTTGAGGGTAAGCCTTCGGCTGGACCGGGGGGAGATGCCACAACGACTCTCTCCCACTCCACTCAGATAGAGAGAGGGGTGGTCGGCCGTGACGTCACAGTTCGGAAGTCTGTGTCGTCGGGAGTCTGCGTCGTCGGGAGCCCGTGGCGCGTTCCCCTATGAATTTCTCTAACATTTAAATTAATTGAGATTTAATCGCAGCTGGTCTTTCATATGTTTTGATTTTAATCCCATGTTATTTAAATGGGCCAAAATCGTACTTTGAGGACTTGCCAAGGGTTTACTGAAAGACGCTCGTAAATAAAGGCATTTTTATTTATTTATTTATGGGTCAACGCACCGACTTGTGACCCTCAAAAGGCACATCTACACGTTAAGGGCTTTCAAACAATATAAAACACATCAAAATTGAGCCAGTGGTTTGGGCTGTAGGTCCGTCAACATTCAAGGAGAAGGAGGAGAAGGAAAAGGAGAACACGGAAAATTTGTGAATTTTGAAACTAGTTTTTCTTGGCTCAAACACTACCGTTTTTTAAATTCTTTTTTTAAATTTTGTTGAGAATGAGTGCCCCTATCCAGTAGATGAACAGTTATTTTAATAGCTTTTGTTTCTTCAGAGCTATAGACGAGTAAAAAAGCCACTTTGTCACGTCATGTATATATACACTGCAGCAGCTGTGTACCGCTGGGGGACTTGGCGTGCCGGAACGCTGCCACGTTCCTTAATAACTAAAGGGTACTAAATGTTTATTATTTATTTCAATTACTAATATATATATAAATATATATTATTCTTGAGGAGATCTTGATAGAGTTTATGATAAATGACACATGAAACATTGCAAATTTTCGTTTAGTACAAATGTTTTCAAGTAAATTGAAATTAATGAAAAATGTAAAAATGAACAAAACAAATAAATATGAACTTTTTTTTCATAAATATATATACCTATACATGAATTTTAATGGATGGTGTTTTTGGCCTCTAGGGACCTCAAAACGAAAAATTAAATCGGTCCCGGGTCCACGTCTTACCATGAGTAAATGGGAAATTCGCTAACAACATTTCATTTCATATAATTTTATTCATTTCAGTACATCAATACAGGAATAGCGATCTATACTATATAAAGTTGTAAATGATTAATTTACTAAGTATCAAAATAAGGTTTCAACTGACTTATACGATCCCCGCCCATAGAACAGGCACCCTGCTAGTTAAATATCAAGATGTCTCTTTTCACCCAAGACAAGGTCAGTTAGTGAAAGTAATCATTTTAACAAACTTAATAGACAGTATATTTTTTTAACAGGCAGAAGTACAAACAAATATTAAAAATTTAAGAAAACATTTTCATAAAAACAATAAAATTATCTGAATTTAATAATCTAAATGAGAAAAAAATGTAAATAAAAGTAGGCCTATACTGATGTACAAAATAAATATTAAACTAATCAACATAATGAATCTAAACTGATTTGTCTCCACTTCTTCAGCCTCCTCTCCCCCAACCTCCATGCCACCCTGTCATCAGGCCTGGAATATAACAGAACAAAATTTAATATTAAAAACTGTATTCTGAACAAGTCTAGTCTTTTTATGCATACTTCTATTATTATTTAATGTGATCAGTGGCGTACTGAGGGGGGGGGGTTTGCACCAGGCCCCACACCAACATAGGCCTCCAAATATCAGGGCCGTATTGCCCTAATGGCGGACACTGTGATTTCCGAGGGCTTCGGCCTGGGAAGGGGACTCACTTGGGGCCTCAAAAGAATGTTTTTTTCTCTTAATAAATTTTCTCACAATCTGTTAGAAATAGGGGGTACAATAATCCAAGTTTAACTTGTATTCTCATGATAGCCGAAAGCGTCTACAAAGATTGCCTGATCGAAATTTACGACTACCAGCGATCGCGGGATGACGATAATCAGGCCTCGCAACCGCGAAAGATTTTCACGATTGCCCCGAGGATGCCCACAATTTTAACCACTGCCGACCGTGGGAGACAAAGATGATGACCCTGCAAACACGGAAGACGGTGCCTGTCGGTGGGTGGTGGGGATAGGGGCGCTTCAAGGCCTACGTGCGGACATTTTTAGTTGCCATGGAGCTGTGGACAGCTGAGCACAATGAAATTGTAGTGAAAGTGTTTTTTAAAAGTTGCAATTCCGGTGTAGCTGTTCAGGGGTAGTCCCGTAGACGTTTCAACGTGGGTCCAAGGGGAAAAGTCTTAACTTGAAACAACATTTTGCTGTGGGTCTGCACGTAGATAAGCTGTAGCTCTGCACATGTCTGGCCACTCAGTAGAAGAATTTTATGATATGACCTGCACTTTTTATTCATACAAACGGCAATCGTGCAACAGTTGAAGCCCAGTGGCTAAGCAAAGTGCATCTCATTTTCAGAACAAGTGATTGATTTGATTAAACGTGACAAAATTGCGTTATGAGCGATGAATCACACTTTCAACCACAACACATAGTCTTCCTCCCTCACTCTCTTGAAGTTCTCTGGCGTCCGGACTGACCTGTTGATTTTAGTTTCAATGCTGAACTAGTAGCTCTAAAGTTGCTACCCAAAATGATGTTGCGAGTTGGGACTTTTCTTCTTTGATTCACATTGAAACGTCTACTGAACAGCTACACAGGTATGGCAACGCTGCGGCCCATCAAACGGCAGGTGTAGCCCCAGTGCAGCGCAGCCCGCAGCGTCGAACAAACCCGATTGCCGGGTGATTGGCTTTCATATTTCGGTATGACGAATATCAAATGACATGTGGTGATGTCCTGTTTTATGACAAGAGTTGACGTAGTTTGCTAAACACCCACAGATAGTAGCACTGCTTGGAATATAGCCGGTCCCATTGTATTGCCAATAGGAGGGAGAAGGACGGGACACTAAGTTGATTTTTAAGTTTGCCAGACGGGGATTTTATGGGGAAATTTTACTACCAACCTACAACACAACCAAAAGCAAGTCACCCACTACACGCTAACAAAGTATAGGTCTGCCTTCGACCGACGCTAGAGGAAAAACAAAGATATACGAAAGGCATTGCCGAGCGTATCTGATATGTTACGGCAGCACCTGAACACAGCTCGGCCCATATCCGATCGGCTACGCCCGCATTGAACGTGTTAAAAACACTTCCACTTCAAAAATACATGGTGCTCAGCTGTCCACAGCTCCATGGCTACTAAAATTTGTTCGCACATTGGCTTTGTAACACCCCTATTCCCACCACCCTCCGCCACACACTGGATTGACAGGGCGGCAAAGAAAACCGTCAAATAATTTTGTTTGTCAACTGCCCTGAATGACCTTTTTTATTTCTTAAGATAACAAATTGGCTTGTTGGGCAACGTTTTATGTCAAATGATGAGGTCATCACTGAAACAGAAGAGTATTTTGTAGGCTTTTCAAGTTTGTAGGGTAACTTACTATTTATTTGAACAGCATTTGAAGGAGGTTGGAGAAACTTTAAGATAAGTGTATAGAGCTAAATAAAAGGAGATTATAACAAAATAAATCAAATTTATCCCAAAACTGTTATTCTATGTTTTTCTAAGGACTTATTCAACCACGCTCGTACTAAATACCTTATTGATCTATCAGAATTGTTCTACTTGTTTCAACTGCGTCTGTTGGCAACGCTTTTCCATTTCTCTTAAAATAATTTTTGTTTCAGTACTTACCAAATGTAAACACTATGACATATTAAGAATTAATTATAATTATGTTGTCAAAAAATATAGCCTACATTTCCTAAAAAACAAAAGCAAATTTTGGGCACCTCTCCAGTTAAAATGCTCGTTATACTAGGAATTCAGGAGAGTTATGCGACATAGGTTTCAGGACACGGCCCTGGATTTATAAGTATTAAATTTAAGGAAATGGCAAAACTTACCATAAGTTAGTTCTCTTCAATCTTCGTCTTTACTTTGCCCCATCCTCCATCTCCTCTTCCTCTGGCAACTCTCCCCTGTATCCTCCAATGTTGGGAGGATATTAATTACAACGCCCCCATTCTACTGGTAGGCTACAGCTCTGTACAGAAATATTGCAAAAAATAAAAAATAGCGTTATACAAATAATTTTAGTCTAACAAATAATACAAGAGCGTAGACTCCTTTCTAAATTTGCGATAATCAAATAGGTACAGCTAGTAGAAGAAAATTTGTTAGCAATCTGGGTCAAGTTAATATAAATATTAGAATTTTTATCAATAATTTGGTTTGGACAAAATAAATTGCTTCAAACATTAATTCATTGTTATTTCCCAATTTGTAAAAATGCAAGCTATATCCTAATTAAAACAACATGTTACGAGATGTACGGCAATCCAAATAAATTTTAAGTAGGGGCCTAGTTTTAAATTGTTATAAAAAAATATTAATTTGCATACAGATTATATATTATCCTCATGTTCCACCAAAAACTATAGTAACTAGTGGGCGAAGTGGCACTTTGCTACACATGAGAGAAATGTTCAAACGCACGAGCTGTAGGCGAGTGTGGAAAGTATCTCGAGTGCAGCAAAGGCAGTTTGCACTTGTTACAAATTATATTTTTCTTACAGTTATTATAAAACATATAAATAATTTGTCTTTCAAACTCTGTTCAACACGTTTATAGGTTAGGTTAAATCCAAACATTGGTGAAATGGTAAGCTTTACCAGTTGATCGTAGTCGTAATATCTTGAATGGGTAGCCAACTTATTTTTAAGTGTACGTATGTATTATGTGTCTAATAAAACCTTGCTGTTTTGTGTTGTTTGGTTGGAATACTGGAGTGTGGCAAAAAAAAGAGTGCAATAAAAGTAAGTAAATTGCAGCAAATAGCAACTTTCTGTGCTATAATAAGTGCAAGGAAGGCCACTTTGACAGTTGGAAAAATAATTCACATGCGCTTCATTTTGAAAACTGTGAATGACTGACTTAAACAACCTTTTTATTATTACTGTTATTATGTTAAAATGTGTAATTTTACGCACAGGCCGCCTAGTTATTAGTTTATAACTAATGTGATAACTGTATAGGCTACACACATTGTTTTTGTCCTATGACACAACAGGCACTAGTCCGGAATTTAATTCACATTTCACACTTCAGCCTAGGTCTAGGGCTGTGGTATTCACACAAAAGAAAATAATAAAAATAAATAATAAAATCCATTGGTCATCTGCCAGGATTTGAGCCCGGTACTGAAGTTCTGCTCGCCCCCTAGGGTAAAGAATTTAGTCAGTTGTAGGCATTAGGCAGGCCTATAAAATATGTAGAGGAGGCTATGACTTAGAGCATTGGAACGCTGATAAATATGATCAGTCATTAATATTAATCGGGGCCAATCCTATGAGCAAAGACAGAATCATATTTAGTAAATAAGGTTGTTACTTCCAATTGCTTGTTGTTGAAAATAATCAGCTGTAGGCTAAAGTAACTTCACCCACCACGGGCGTCGCCGCCATAGGGGACATGGGGGATGCGTCCCCCCCAATATTTGAAAAGTCAGTTTGGTCCCCCATCCCAAATTTTAAAAATCATACAGAATGCGTGTTCACCCGATCGATCGCTTCCAGCAAGCAAGGTGCTCGCTTCGCTGTGTGATTCGGAAGCGTACGACATGATGCGGTGGTGGAGGGGTGTTCTGATTCACGATCCTCGAGTTGCACTATGGATGCCTAGACGCTTGTCTTGAATGTCTTCTCGCGTTTCAGTCAGACTTTCAGTCCGTTCCGTCACCGTCAGTCGGCAGTGGTTGATACTACATACATTTATATGTAGGCCTACGTTAACCCTTTTCTCCTCGTGTGCTGTATCTGTCGGTAGTATCGGTTATAGTTCTTTTAGGTTAGTTGATACTTTTTGGAAGAGTTGATATTTGAACCTTGAACTGTTTATTGTCAAATGAAGCGAGCAGAAGGCCAAAAACAAATTGTTTATATAAAAACCTGCTTGTAAAAATGTAAGTTTGTGGGTTTAAATATTAGTGTTCAAACGTCATTGAATTCGATACTATACATATTGTGACAGATCTAAGAAATGGAGAAAAAAGTAAGGTTAAAAAAACATATCTACTTGCTTGCATGGCATATAACATGTGAAATGGAAGGTTTTAGGACAATTGGGCACAGTTCACAGTTCTATCCATTAGAAATGGCTTTATAAAGTCACCAATCACCATACGGCTTTTGGGAGATATGGCTTCGTAGTCTACAGTAGGCCTATGTTTTGAAATTCATGAATGCAAGTTCGTCATAGTTTGATTTTTAAAATGTCTACTTGCTCATGACAAAGACAAATAACAGGTGAAACGGGAGGTTTTTGGACAGTTGGACACAGATATAGACATTAATAATGGCTTTAGAAAGTCAGTAAACAGCTTTTACACCACACTACATTATTTTGATGAACTTTCCACGCATGGATTTAGTCCAGAAAACAGCTGTTTGCCGCCAGCTTATTCAAATGGGGTTTCATTGCGTAATACTGTTCTGCAATGAGTTTTACCGGACACCAATCAGCTGATTATACTGTATTTTCGTGGCAATTAGTGGTTATAAACAAAAACATAACCTCTCATGACTAGTGATTTTTAGTCCTTTAGTTGGTGGAAATATATAAGGATTTGTACGGATTAAGTAGTATGGCGTAAACTATCGTACGTAACTCGTCCAAAATGTGTGTACCGGACTTGTATGGTAATCCCGTACTCGACTTCGTCTCGCACGGGAACGACCACACTCGTCCGGTAAACACTTATTTACAGGACTAGTAACGTAATAGTCCTTGTTGGGGGGGTGTGGAGCACCCCTCAAGCCCCCCAGTGGGCACCCCCTTCCTACATTTGTCCCCCTCAATCTTTTGATGCTGACGACAATATATTGTGAGGATACGGCCGTAGCCTACAGTATTTTTTGAGATTTATGAATGAATGCGATCGTCATAGTTAGTTTTAAAAATGTCTAATTATTCATGACAAATAAAGGGGGGAAAGGGAGGTTATGCACACAGTTCTAGACGTTAAAACTGGCTGTATAAAGTCACCAAACGGCTTTTAGGAGGATATGGCCTTAGTCTACAGCGTATTTTTAAATTCATTAATGCAATCGTCTTTAATTTTTAAATTGTCTATTTGCTCATGACAAACAACAGGTGAAATGGGAGTTTATGGACAATTGGGCACGGTTTTTGGTGTTAAAAATGGCTTTAAAAAGTCACCAAACTGCTTTGAAAATTACCAATTTTTGGACCCCCCGGCCTTGTTGGGGGGTGTGGAGCACCCCTCAAGCCCCCCAGTGGGCACCCCCTTCCTACATTTGTCCCCCTCAATCTTTTGATGCTGACGACGCCAATGTCACCCACAGTTCATTCTACTTGTTAATGTCATCCACCCTACCTTGACTATTCAAACATTTTGAGCGGCAATTTATTCCGTTTCAGTAATATTCATCTGCGGTGAAAAATAGTAGTCTATTTGGATTCAGTACGGTACGTAAAATACTACGCAGAGGATACGGGTCCGGTAACCGGGCGTGGATTAGGCATCCGGCAGTTGCTGTCATAACCTAACCTAACCAACCAAACTTGCTGATAATGAAAAAAATCTAATGAAGGTTAAATTCTGTCCATAAAATAAATTTATAAACGCAACCAATTCAAACAAAAGGTATTGTACAGTTAAGAATAAACCCACGCAAATATGGCCTAGGACATAAAAATGTTCTTTCCATTTATGATAACCCAACCTAACATAACCGCCGCAAAGCGCTGTATATCTGTAGCCTCCGGATAATACTTACCAAAGTACCGATTTGAACTTTGAATACCGGTAACTTAGTTATCACGGCAGTATGGTAATAGCCTCCAGGGTACACAACTCTGGTCTCTCTATATCTCTCATCTGCAGTGATGTCGATGGCAATGTCGTCCAGAAAGGTTAGTCCTCTTAACTTATTGGTTCAAGACAATAGGGTATTTAAACTAGAGACCAATTTGGGCTCAGGTCAAATTACAGCCTTTGCTCCAGGATCATCTATAAAATTAACATTGAAGTCAGCAATGAATGATATAATCCAAGACTAGTCTTACACCAAATACAAACCTCTCTAGAATATTTTACAGCACTTAAGTTAAGTTTACATCCTACACTCATTCCAATGAATATATTTCTTTAATACTTTCTTTCTTATTACTTGGCGACCATACAAAGAAGGTATTTTAAGCCAAGTATGAATGGAGATGAGTGTAGGATGAGTGGCGCGATCTTGTAGTCTTGTTAGTGACTAAAAGACCGACATTCCTTAGACACAGCTGTTAATTAATAGCCCATACAGCTAATGGCAACTAAGGGACCTACAGTTTATAGTGGAATCCGAACCACATTATTGCCTTGGTATAGGCCTAACTTAAGTTATACAAATTGGTCTAATTATCAGGATAGTACTAAGGAGAGTCGTAGTAAGTACTCACTCGTGCGGACGTTAGTCCACACCAGGGAGTATCGAATCCACAGTACATGCCTATAAATATCCACAATTCGTGACCTCCTAACTTAGTAGCTGGATTACAGGACGACGCCACACGTCCCAGACATATTGATTATTTCATTCGATAAACTTAGGCCTAAGCCTATATCAAGTTTGGTTAATTAGGGTAAAACCTAACCTAACTAGTTAAAGGAATGCAATATTCAAAATACTAAATAGTCTATGTATTTAATATCTTTCATTTGAATAAATGTAGGACATAGCCTAAACTAAAGTGCAGCCAAATATTTTTACATCAAATTCTCAAAGTTGACACTGGGTCAGTGGGGATAAGAGACAATCCTAATAGCCTAGCCTAGGGATTTGCCTATTCAAACATTTGCAATAATATTGCTCTATGATCCAGAATTAGCCTACGAACAAGCTGGAATAAAATATTGGTTCTTGACTTATCATTTAAGTGACTTACCTAAGTTAGTGCCTGGTAATGTTTTTAAGTTTTTTATCCTATAAAAATTATTTCACATTATTCCTTAAAAACTATTGTTTGTAACACTCGAGTCATCTATTTTCTTGTAAACAAGGAAAGAAATAAAAAAGATAAATATTTACAATATAAAAGTTTTAGTCCATAAATGGCCAGCAGCTTGTAGATGTCCGTCCGGTCGGAATTCGGAATCAAATTATTCAAATATTGCGACTCGTGAGTTGAGGAACTGAACGATGAATTAGAACAACTCCTTTTCAAGAGTAGCTCCGAAGAACGGGAGCTTGTCGATATACTGGGACTATTTCAGTGTCGACATAGTGAAACTATTTCATTGTCGACAATATGGGATGTCAACAATTTGTGGTGTCGATCATTTGCGACGTCGGTTATTTGGGATGTCGGTTAAGTGGGAATATTCCAGTGTCGACAAACTGGGAATAATTCAGTTTCGATCAATTTCTAAGGTTGTCGATATTATGGAACCCACCCGACTCCGTCCGTCAGGGCAGGGCAGAAACAGAAACAAGAAACGAAACGAAACGAAGAAACAAGGACGGCCGTGAAGATAGCTGTCACCAGCTGTCGCCTAGCAGTTGCGGCGGCTCCCCCACTCCGTCACCCTGGCCCCAAGATAGATAGTCTGTTATTTATGAGAATAGACCACGAACCTCACCTTGCTACTGATTGATTGCACCTACTGTTATTACACATTGTACAAGTATACAGGATTGTTCTTATAAAAAAATATGTAAATTTAAAAAGTGAAGGATCTTTAGGAAAAAATGCTGTTAAAAGAACACAAATACAGTGGTTTATTATTTCATTACACTATGACCAACATTCATAATTTTTACCTTGGCCCTGTTTGATTGAACAAAATTAGATTACTGATTGTACTAGTGTAAATGACTGCTTTTAATAATAAAACATAATAATTGGAATAAAGACTGCTTTTAATAATAAAACATAATAATTGGAATAAAAGTATAAGATGTTGGCGAAAATGGTGTCGAAAACTACCAAATGGTCAAATAATATTTCACATTCAAGATTTTTTTCTTACCATGACTCCGATTGATTGCACCAAATGTTATTACTGATTGTACTTGTACAGATGATTGCTTTTAATAATAAAATATAATTATTGGAATAAAAGTGTAGGATGTTTGCGTAAAATGGTACCAAAACCACAAAAATGGTCAAATAATGTGCCACATTTACAAATTATTTTTACCATGACCTTGATTGATTGCACCAAATTTTATTACTGATTGTAAAAGTATAGATGATTGCTTTTAATAATAAAATATAATAATTGAAATAAAAGTGTAGGATGTTGGCGTAAAATGGCACCAAAGTCACGAAAATGGTGAAATAATGTTATACTTTAAGATTTTTTCTTACCATGACCCAGATTGATTGCACCAAATTTTATTACTAATTATACTAGTATATATGGTTGCTTTTAATAATAAAATATAATAATTGAAATAAAAGTGTAGGATGTTGGCGTAAAATGGCTCCAAAGTCACGAAAACGGTCAAATAATGTGACACATTCACAAATTATTTTTACCATTACCCCGAATGATTGCACCAAATTTTATTACTGATTGTACAAGTATATATGGTTGCTTTTAATAATAAAATATACTAATTGAAATAAAATTGTAGGATGTTGGGGTAAAATGGCACCAAAACCACGTAAATGGTTAAATAATGTTATACATTTAAGATTTTTTCTTACCATGACCCCGAATGATTGCACCAAACTTTATTACTGATTATACTAGTATATAGGAAAATGGTCAAATAATGTGACACATTCACAAATTATTTTTACCATTACCCCGAATGATTGCACCAAATTTTATTATTGATTGTACTAGTATAGATAATTGCTTTTAATAATAAAATATAATAATTGAAATAAAAGTGTAGGATGTTGGCGTAAAATGGCACCGAAACCACGAAAATGGTCAAATAATGTGACACATTCACAAATTATTTTTACCATGACCTTGATTGATTGCACCATATTTTATTACTGATTGTACAAGTATATATGGTTGCTTTTAATAATAAAATATAATAATTGAAATAAAAGTGTAGGATGTTGGCGTAAAATGGCACCAAAGTAATGAAAATGGTTAAGAAATGTTATACATTTAAGATTTTTTCTTACAATGACCCCGAATGATTGCACCAAATTTTATTACTGATCGTACAAGTATATATGATTGCTTTTAATAATAAAATATTATAATTGAAATGAAAGCGTAGGATGTTGGCGTAAAATGGCAACAAAGTCACGAAAATGGTTAAATAATGTTATACATTTAAGATTTTTTCTAACCATGACCCCGAATGATTGCACCAAATTTTATTACTGATTGTACAAGTATATATGGTTGCTTTTAATAATAAAATATAATAATTGAAATAAAAGTGTAGGATGTTGGCGTAAAATGGCACCAAAGTCACGAAAATGGTGAAATAATGTTATACATTTAAGATTTTTTCTTACCATGACCCAGATTGATTGCACCAAATTTTATTATTGATTGTACTAGTATAGATGATTGCTTTTAATAATATAATATAATAATTGAAATAAAAGTGTAGGATGTTGGCGTAAAATGGCACCAAAGTCACGAAAATGGTCAAATAATGTTATACATTTAAGATTTTTTCTTACCATGACCCAGATTGATTGCACCAAATTTTATTACTGATTGTACAAGTATATATGATTGCTTTTAATAATAAAATATTATAATTGAAATAAAAGTGTAGGATGTTGGCGTAAAATGGCACCGAAACCACGAAAATGGTCAAATAATGTGACACATTCACAAATTATTTTTACCACTACCCCGAATGATTGCACCAAATTTTATTATTGATTGTACTAGTATAGATGATTGCTTTTAATAATAAAATATAATAATTGAAATAAAAGTGTAGGATGTTGGCGTAAAATGGCACCGAAACCAGGAAAATGGTCAAATAATGTGACACATTCACAAATTATTTTTACCATTACCCCGAATGATTGCACCAAATTTTATTATTGATTGTACTAGTATAGATAATTGCTTTTAATAATAAAATATAATAATTGAAATAAAAGTGTAGGATGTTGGTGTAAAATGGCACCGAAACCACGAAAATGGTCAAATAATGTGACACATTCACAAATTATTTTTACCATGACCTTGATTGATTGCACCATATTTTATTACTGATTGTACAAGTATATATGGTTGCTTTTAATAATAAAATATAATAATTGAAATAAAAGTGTAGGATGTTGGCGTAAAATGGCACCAAAGTAATGAAAATGGCTAAGAAATGTTATACATTTAAGATTTTTTCTTACAATGACCCCGAATGATTGCACCAAATTTTATTACTGATTGTACAAGTATATATGATTGCTTTTAATAATAAAATATTATAATTGAAATAAAAGTGTAGGATGTTGGCGTAAAATGGCAACAAAGTCACGAAAATGGTTAAATAATGTTATACATTTAAGATTTTTTCTAACCATGACCCCGAATGATTGCACCAAATTTTATTACTGATTGTACAAGTATATATGGTTGCTTTTAATAATAAAATATAATAATTGAAATAAAAGTGTAGGATGTTGGCGTAAAATGGCACCAAAACCACGAAAATGGTCAAATAATGTGTCAAATAATGTTTTATGGCGATGTTTTACGTAAATATAATAAACACACTCAGAGTCAGTTATTATGTATATTGTGGCATTCCTTGACGTTATACCACAACGTCCTACGTTCAATTGGAACTTTTGTACTGTAATGCACATTTAAGATAAATTTTATTGTTAATAGATAAAATAAAAGTTCTTGACCTGGACCATCTATTCATCCGACCAGATGGCAGTATGATGACGGATTGGTTTGAAAGGTAGGTTGTAAATACATAAAATTTGACAAATTATGTGAACGTAGAAATTTAACAATTTCCATATAGGCTTTTTACTATTTGAACTAAAGTGAAGAAAATAACTTTACACTCAAGGACTGGGCTTAAGTGCAAGGCTATTGGCCCAAATATGTTTAATGTTTTGTTATAGTTCATATATGGCAAATCTTATTATGACACCTGATATTTTTATGAACAGCTTATGAGTATATCGTTTGTTTTTGTAGTTATTTCGTAACCAAAAACGCAACCCGAAAGGGTTCATAACACTTGTCCACCTCCACTCTAAAAAAGTTGAATACAAGAATATAAAAAGCAAAACAATGTAGATAATTGTAAAAAAATATGTAACATAACAATGTAGAGTAATAGTTAATTTAAATTTGGAACATGTAGCAATACTCTTATAATTCACAATAATTTATTTTGTAGAGTAATGGGATCCGGACATCGCCGTCGACCAGACATGGTTCACTGGAATGACAGAGGGATGGAGATTGTCGGCCAATTTCTGATGGACAGTTTGGCTTAGGCATAGACAAATAGAGTTACATATAGACTGACAGCAGTGCTGTGGTTAGATTAAGTTCTGGCGTCCACCGCCAGCAGTGTCGCCTTTATACGTAGAGCGTATACACATTAACTACACAGTGATCCTAACGGTGGACGCAAGAACGTATGCTAACCACAATTACTTTAAGTGCCAATGGTTAATTATTTGTTTTCATAATAATTATTTACTTCATTACTAATGGTATAGGTTTGGCTGGCTGATAATAAAACCAGCAATTCATGTTATTGGTATGGTTTAGTTCCATAAGATCCTGTGCTTGGCTTTTTGAAAACTAATTAATTTGCATGGCAAAATTTACATGGTCTGTTGGACTCCGAGCTCTTGGGGCTATGCACCATGCAGGGACAGAGCATCGACGGCCCTGTGTTCAGCAGGGCTACCAGCCGCCTGTTGGTCATGGTCCGAAGTATCACGGAATACAATAATAATTCATTCTGACAGACTGTATTAAGAAAACAATAATTCAACTGTGTATACTTATAAAAACACCTTATTTCATTAGATTTTTACAAATAGTATATTATAATCAAAGATACTTTAGTTATGTTTCAGATGCTGCAACATCACCACTCGATGATGAAATAATGATATAACAGCAAAGAAAATGTAAATATTGGTAAATATCCCGCA